CTCGGACTTCTTTTAAACTGAGTTTTGCTGTCTGTTTGTTTATTCTACATTGGCTAGAGGTATAGGGGGAGAGTTGAAATCTCACAAAACATGTTTAACCCCGCCGCATTTTTGCGCCTGTCCCAAGTCAGGAGCCTCTGGCCTTTGTTAGTCTTGTATGGTTTTTAATTTAGGTTCATTTATATTTTTAGGAGTTTAGTGTGACGTCCATTTTCGCTGAACTAGTAAACATTTTTGTTCGGGGACCAGCTGAAGCCCGCCTCCGGGTGCGGGATTTTCTCGCTTTGTTGAAGGCCCATTGATGGCCTTGGTCTGTTTTCTGCTCTTTGGTCGGGTTGTTGTCTCTGACACATTCCTCGTTTCCATTCTCAATTTTATTAAATACGTTGACAACAACCCGACCAAAGAGTAGACTGAAGTATATTAATACACATAATCTTTACTATCATAATATATAAAGAAGTACACTGTTACACAAGTTAAACCATGTTTTATTTTGTATTCCTTTGTTACTTGTAAGATTTGGATAAACTACCCAAAAACTCATAATTTCAATGTTAACCCCTATCCCAAAATCAATACTCTTGTCTATTGCCGTACTTAAACGAAAAAGAAAAAAAACTAGTGCTTGGTTTGTTTTTCTGATAAAAAAAATCTTTTCTTGCAACCATCGTACCAAAATTCTGTAGATGAAAACTATGAAATTTGCTAACTTGCTATTTGTATGTATTAAAATATATAATATAAATATAATTCTTGAGTTAAGGATAAAGCTTTTTTGTTGTTTATTTAGTTTTGGTTATCTCTCGGGGTAACATTACAATGATCGACATTTATAGTTTTGGTTATCTCTCGGGGTAATATTACAATGATCGATATTTAGTTTTGGTTATCTCTTGGGGTAACATTACAATGATCGATGCATATTTATTTATGAACTGAAATTATTAAAAATGTTTTAGTATCAGAAATGTACAGCAAATTGACCGTTTAAGTATGTAGCTTTCTAGGGTTTCCAACGATTGTTTTTTTTATTTAAATCTCCCAAAGTAATCAGTCAGTTTTGTCGACTCCAATATCATCATAGGAGGACGGAAGTGAAGTATTCCTGTTATTTCCGGTTGGAAACTAAATGAAAATGTATTTAGTTTTGAAAGATGGCTTAATTTGTAATTAAATATTATGTTCTGCTGTGCAAGTATTATAGTTAAACAATATTTATAAAAGATGTGAAACTTGTAAACCAGCTATAATATTATTAGACTAATAAATACGGAAATTGGTATTTCCTTTAATAGTGTAGTTTGTTATATAATTTTGAAGGCTATCTAGCTAATGATATATAATTCTAAACAATATAACTTTACCGAAATATTTAAAGTCGCCATTAGCTGTCACGGCTGTTTTTGGAATAATTACCTTTGAACAAGTTGAAGGCAAGTACAAGAAATCTTCAGATAGTGATCATAAAGTACGATCGATCTATATAACGACAGATTAGTCACAATTTGGTGACTATGTTGAACGCATCTATCCCATCGAACACGAGATAAAGGATACAACAGATACAGTTCAGTTTGCCTCATATTTTGACTTACATCTAGAAATTGACAATGAGGGTCGTTTGAAAACAAAACTTTACGACAAAAGAGATGATTTCAGCTTCCCAATTGTGAACTTTCAATTTATATGTAGCAACATTCCAGCAGCGCCTGCATACGGAGTATATATCTCCCAGTTGATACGATATTCCAGGGCTTGTATTTCCTAGTTATGAATTCCTTGATAGAGGGTAGCTGCTGACAAGGAAGCTATTAAACCAAGAGTTTCAAGTGGTGAAGTTGAAAGCTTCACTTCGTAAATTTTACGGACACCACCACGAGTTGGTTGACCGTTATGGAGTATCCGTTTCACAGATGACAGCGGATATGTTCCAATTGTAACTACATCCCGGCACCCCTTTTCCCCGAATGTTATCGAACTACCTAATTAGACTTATCAACGGGTTTGTACTAACATGAGCAACACGGCGGGTGCAACATGTGGAGCAGGATCTGCTTACCCTTCCGGAGCACATGAGATCACCCCAGTTTTTGGTGGGGTTCGTGTTGGTCAGTCTTTAGTTTTCTATGTTGTGTTTTGTGTACTGTTGTTTGTCTGTTGGTCTTTTTCTTTTTTAGCCATGGCGTTGTCAGTTTATTTTCGACTTATGAGTTTGAATGTCCCTTTGGTATCTTTCGTCTCTTTCACAGTAAGTGTACAAACAGAATGGTATCAAAACTAATCATGATTGTGTATTACTACAGCAAGGATGCTATAGTACAATTACAGCCAGTGGCTGCGTTATATTGAAGAAAGTGTCTACCTTATAGTCAAATATATGAACTCCATGCATTCAAAAAAATAATATGTTAAACCTTAAAGTAATTTGAAATACCGTGACGTGCAAATATGTTATTGTCTACCTCTCTTTTAAAATGCAATAGACAATTTTGAAAATGTTAATCTTTGCTTCGCTGAATATCAATAGAAAATCGCCAACAGCAACAAACAATCAAAGACAAAGAAAACAATTAACATAAAACCAATAAATTATTTTCAGTGTTGATGATAGAAATTTTCCCGAAATCTATACCAAATTTCAACTACGAAGTTTTCAGGAACATCAGGTTTTACTAAATTTTGTTCAATGCTTCGAACATGCACAGCCGAGTACTGACATGTCCCTGTAACTATTAAAAACAGCCAATAGGAAATTAAATTGTTTGGAATTTGTTTGCATAAACACATTTAAGACTAGGTTTACACTAAACTATCATAACCAGCAGGTCTACTCTATTTCATATTAGAGGACAAGGATGTTGTTATATTATAACTCTACATTATATTGTTATTTTAACTTTTTACCGAAACGTCTTCTCGTACACTTATAATTTATAGCTTCCTTATTTATTGAGAACATGCCAAACATTGAAAACTTCTATTCTGGGAGTGGGCGATATTTTTGTCAGAAGTTTTTGCACTGAACAATATATACCCTATTAAACTGCAGGTAGATAATCCAGATAATAAACTATATATAGGTATAGATATCGAACAATCAGATTTTTAGAAAATTTGTTTTCCGTTTTTCCAAGTAAGGGGTTAAAATGGGTTACATGCTCCTAGCTTGGTACGCACTCAAGTAATGTTTTATATACATATCAAGTTTAGTTACGAACAAACACAAATCTTCATGCCAGAAAATTTCTTTGTTATCATTTTTAATAATTAATAGCTGTATTTTACATATAATTTTTACAAATGAATTAAATAAAGGACAATGTTTATTCTAGAAAAGAGATGTATATATTTCAAATATTTGCTATCCGATTAATATCTTCTTCTTTTTTGAAATAGGAATCTTCAACCTTGAGCATGCATACAAAATTTGTTAGATTCCATATAAATATGATGCCTTATATATAGAAATGTTAGACTTCTGATTATTTTGTTTTTATTGAGGATTGTATAACAAGGTCGATTTAACATCACCTGCAGTCCGTTTTAATACAATTATTTCTCATGTTTTCATCATACATCTGATAGAATCTCCGCATTCACAACAAAAGCTCATTTTATGTGACTTTTTAGAACTGCAAAAGAAGAGAGAATCTGATTCTGGAATAACGCATTTTGGAAGAAAAAACTTAAACTACAGTATTGAAAGTGAAAGTAGGTTTCACGGTATGATTTTGGGGAAATACATATCCATTTAAACAACTGACGTAACATGTAATATGACTCTTAAATTTAGTCCAAGTTCATATTTAAAGAGCAGCTAGGAAATATGACAATATAAATATCTGGCATATAATAGTTCCAGGGAAATTATAGCCGTGCGAAGAAGATTGTAATTTTAATGTAAATCTATTGAAAAGTAAGTTAATTTATATTTCATCATTGCCGGCTATATATATAAAGGGAAAGAAAGATTAGCAATTCGTGGACTACCTAGATCTATAAGACGACGACCATTTGATATCATCTGGGGAAGAAGGGGGGCAGGGAGAAGGAGGATTTTTCTTACGGAATATTCATTTTCCGCTTTCACCAGTCTCGCTTAATTTTTTGCGCTCGAAAATTTATTTTCCATTTTGTAGACAATAGACAATAGACGATATTTATTAGCACAAACACATTTACATTAAATGGTTATGGCAAACAGTATGAAGACAATAAAATGACAATAATTAAATTGACTATAATTAAATTAAAAAAAAAATAGACTATAAATATGTGTATATGTACATTGATTTCCTTCAATTTGTTGGGTAAATATTCACTTTCACTCTGTTCTTACATAATAAGAATGCCAAAATATTCATTTTCATTCTGTCCTTATTAAACCAAAATATTCGTTTTCACAAATCCTACTGTATCCGGTTTTCTCAAAAAATGATAAATGAATTCTCAACTTTTTTATTGATTGACAATGTTTGCTTACATATTATGGATTACGACGAATCTATAACATGTTTAGAAGATATTAATTTTTGATACGATCAAAATGAATGCATGGAGTATCGAAGGTCGAAGCTGATCGGATACTTTTCCGTATGTAGATTTCTGGAAATCTAGACTCGCTACGGGTTTGGCAAACTTTCATTTACTCGTAACCCAAAGTAACTCCGATCACAAGTTGTATGTTCCAATAGCATATTTTATCTACGCGACAAATTGACAGTTAGGAACGCTAGATAAAAATTATTGTTCAGAGGCTAATCCAAATTGACTATACTTGTTCTTCGGACTCAGTTTATGTAAAAAAAAAAACGGAAGCAAGCGAGTTAATTTCTTATTTTGATGTTGTCTTTTTTCGAAATGAATATTGAATATTTTAGCACGCGATGCATGAAAGTTGGTGACTCGGAGAGGAAGTCGTTTTTTTTTTAAATTTTATTGTACAAAACCTGTTTTCAGGAGCGAGAAATATTTTTTTAACACACTAAAAATTCATTGAATTGTTGAGTAAACAATAACATATAAAAAAGAGCGATATTTCAGAATATCCTCAGGGAATGGCGGTAATATTTTTTTGTTTTAGGTTTACTAAATTTTGGAGCGAGCAATCAGGGGCGAATCCAGGATTTTTCAAAGGGGGGCGTAGAATAGAATCTTTTTTGACCTTTTTTTGGCTAAAAAACATAAAATAAGTGTAAAATGCACTAATTTAACGGTTCCTGACGTGGAGCATGTATATTTTATAGTTAAAGTGTAAGGGTTGGACATTTTTGATGCCGTATTCTCCCCATTAATTGACTAGATATACGGCCATTCAATACAATTTACAATACAACCGACACGAAGAAAGACTAAAAAGCAATTTTTATCCAAATGTATGGTTGAAATGTTTCACCCAACAAGGGAAGTGAATGGTTCCAAATCAACCAAAGGCTAAGAATGAGTCTGAAATGACAATGAAGTTGTGAATGACGGTCGAGAAATGGAGACGTAAAGGCCACACCCAGTAGGCAGGTTGCAGTCGGTCTTTGAAAAAAGTACTCAGTATACCAGTTCGGCGAAACAGACATTCCGGTCACATCCCTCTCTTTAGTCTAAACTCCTTTTAAAAACATTAAGAAACACAAGAATAGTAATTCAAATACCAACAAGAGTTTAGGCACGGACCACTTGATTTTCTGAGGGTGGCCTGGAATTTACATGCGAACCAAACAAAAACATTTCGCCCGTTTTTTATACATTTAATGCTAAATAATTTTGTTGGAAATGTTTTTTCTGATAGCTAAAAAGTTGGCAAGATTATTGTTTTCAACGCAGGTACGACCAGAATTTTTTTAAATGCAAAAATCAGGGCCAGAATTTTTTTTCTCTAAAATATCTCAGACCCCCACCACCGAAAATCAAATGTTATTAATGGGCTGGGGCGTGTGGGGTTAAACATGTTTTCGTAGGTAAATATTATAGCTGTGGAACTTTTTTTTATCATGTGAGTGTAATAGAGTATTACCTTCTGTTGGGTGAAATTGTAAAATAGGAGTCAGTACGTCCTTGCTCCATCCTTTGTCGCTTTGAAGGCGTCATGCTTTTCATCCTCAGCTTTAGCAATGTGTTACTGTAATTTGAATTTCAAAATGACTGAGTGACGTTTTTTCGACGTACTGGTCAACTCCACGGTAGCGAATCACGTGACTTTGACATAATCAATAATATATTACACGTAAATACGAGCGAATAATATCTTTAAAGTAACGAATTGTCACATAAAATATACGGGAAATGGCAAAGTTAACGAAATTTAGTCTGATTAATCATTTTACAGTCTTAATTAAAAAAAAGAAAAGAAAAAAAAGTGCAAGTAAATGGGAGGGGGGCGTACGCCCTTTAGCAATCAACAGAGCTATGAATCAATTTGGAGCGGTCTGATTATTGTATGCCTTGGATATGCGCAAAGAGGGTGGAATAAATATTTATGAACTCTGGGTATTGCCATATCGTTCATGGGGCCTCGGTGGCCGAGTGGTCTGAGTAGTTACTACTGTAATCACTAGCCAGTCAACACTTTGGTTGTGAGTTCGAACCCCGCTCGTGCGGGTGCACTCGACTCCAATCTTAATTGACTAGGATTGTCAGTTTTCCTATCGAAGGTCGGTGGTTTTCTCCGGGCACTCCGGCTTCCTCCACCAATAAAAACTGGCCGCCACGAAATAGCCCAAAAGCGGTGCTTAAAAGTGGCGTTAAAACACAAAAAATCAAACATCAAAAACCATATCGTTCACTGTAGGTGGGTGGTGGTGGTTGATAAAAGCGTACATGCCATACGTTCAGGGTTTTTGTACAATTTGTATATCTAAAATGGTACATTTTTAGGCTGGAATTAAATACTTTTTTTTTTTTGCTTTTCCTAAGATAACTGGGATATTTGTAAAAGTTTAATGTTAAACAATCTGTACATGTAATTAATTTCAACTTTTAAATTCAAGGAAGGGCTGTGAAATGTGATAGTCGTGCTGAAATCGAATTTCCGTTCCTGAAAAAAGCGGGACTATTGGCTCCAAACATTCGGAGTTGCATATCCACTTGAGTAAATGTTAAAATATATATACTGTAATACGGTGCTTTGCTTTTGCGCCAATTTGCATTTCATTTGCGCCAAAAAATTCTTCATTTGCGCCCCAAACCATATTTCATTTGCGCCAATAATACAGGTAAATACAGGTAAATAGTATAAAAAATAGATTTATTCAAAAGAGACTTTTAATAATAACTTTAAAACATAGTTTTTGTATGCATAATAAAACATATTCATCCGAAATCAGTCATCATAACCATAATGAAAGCAGTATACACTGATTAATTCTTAAAAGAGACTTTTCACAATAATGTTAAATCACAGTTCTGTTATAAACTAACGTGATCATTAAATGAAAAGAAAGCACCATACATTGAAATAAAATTACGAGTCTGTTCTAAGCACTATACACTGAAGTAAAACTAAAGAATATAAAAAGGATATATTAAATCTTTCTGTTTGTCTGTCTGTCGTAGACTGTCAAATATATAACTTGTATGGCAATGTTTTTTGACAGACAAGACATTGTGTATTTGCATTGCTTTTTATTTCTGAAGTGAAAATATTTACCCAATCGAAAATTTTGAATGCTAAAAAAATCAAAACCAGACGCGCGTTTCGTCCACAGTGGTAATCTATGTGCTAGAACATACTTAGTTTTTTTTTCGAAAAAATCAATTTTTTGTAAACAGTTTAACTTATAATTATGACCATATCATAATAATTCATGTCAACGCAGAAGTGTTGACTACTGGGCTGGTGATTCCCTCGGGGAGGAAAATTCACCAGCAGTAGCATTGACCCAGTGGTTGTAAAAAAAACTCATCATAGATACCAGGATTAAAACTTTGCACGCCAGACGCGCGTTTCATCTACAAAAGACTCACCAGTGACGCTCAAATAAAAAAAGTTAAAAAGGCCAACTTAATTTATTTTTTAAATCGAATATTCACGTGATACACTTTTTGTAATATTACTACATTTGTGCTTTAATTAAGATTTTTGCATTTGCTAATTAGCGTTTCAATATTGCATGTGTGTATCCAAATATTTGCAATTTGCATATATGTTATTCAGTATGAGATTCAAAGTATAGAAAAAAAGTCTAAATTCAAGGAGCTTCAATCGCTCGTGGACGTTGCCTCTATAATATTTTTCTCAGATTTCAAAAAGAATATGGCCCAAGCTAGTCATAAAAAATGTCGTCATATTTGAGAGTAGTTTCGCACTAACAAATACATTTTTATGTTCCGCAGTCCAATGGTTCAATTTCTTTTTGTACTTTAAGGAAGTCAAAAAAGGGGGGGGGGGGGGGGGGGGGGGTTAAGAATTATTTAAAATTTGACAAACATTAGTCTATATCGTGCTATTTTCTAAATTATAATAAAAAGTATTGCCCACACACCTTGTTTTCAGTCTACTGATTGTGAACAATTGACACATTTTATTAAGATTATACAAGGAAATATCATTAGTATTTATATAGAAAGATTACTAAATGACATTATTTTGATAAAAAAAAAAATGACAAAAGCTCTTATAAATTTTTAAAATTAAATTAAAAGGAAAAATAGGATCTCATAGGATATCATCGTCCCTAGTCTTGTTTTATAGCAAAATAGAAAAAATTGCTTTACATTTTTTTTTTTTAAATTGAATAATCTGAGTTTCTCCCCCTTACATAGCAGTTGTAAACATTTTTTATCAATAAAAAACTGTATTTGTAAAACCAAGTGTTATCATAAAATAAAATCGCATAATTTTCTAAACTTACATGAATAATATAATGAATAAATTGCATTCCTTATTCAAAATTTGCTAATTTCTTAAAAAATCTGGACCGATCATTTTCTGTTTTGTGTGATCCAAGATGGCGAACGACCCAAATACTACCTTAGATATAAAGTTTTTTTTTAGAATGGTGCATAAGAATTGAAATTTGTCATATTAATTTTGTTGGAATGTTTAAGCTACACAAGAACTTTCTGCCAAGGTCTTAAGAAGATACAATGAGGAGACATAAAGTGGATGGTAGGAAAAGAATATTTGAAGGTAGAAGAAATTGGAAAACTTGTTTCGAATCAACCATGAACCACCAAAGACATAAGAGACCTATGGAATTCAATGGAAAAAATGGTAAATATAATAAGCCTCACAATTTCAATGATGGTACAAGAGATTTACAATCAAAAGAAGACAGGCGTTCTGGAATTAATCGAGATTTCAATCACGTTGGAACAACACGGCATGAATTTAACAACACGTTGATGCATTCTAACGGTAGTCGACTAGGAGATGATAGACTAGAATCGAGATGGCTTACTGAGCACAATGGAAGGGGAAATATTGGACGTCGTAATCCCCATTTTGATAAAGGAAACAAAAACTCTTACACCAGAAACGGTACCCGTGACGAAAAAAGAGGTATAAAAAATGAACAAAATTGGCAAGACAGAAGAGATAAACAAAACACAGGATTTAATTTGTTTAACAGAGAATGTGATTATCAAGAGCAGGGAGAATATAGGAATACGCGCTTTACTGATTGCCAAAACCGGGATAGACAAAATAGAGAAGAGATTTCACATTCCTTCAATAGACCGTGTCAATTAGACATTGAAAGGCATGGCCAAGCAAAAGATTACCAAAGGGACAATTTTGCTGAAAGTGGTAGTTTTAATACCCTTCGTAGTGGGAGATATCAAGAGAAAAATTTGGATGCAGATATTACTTTTGGTGAAGTTTTGAGCCAAAAGATGTTACCAGATAGACATGAAGAAATCAAGCAAGGAGAATGTGAATTTTCACCAGTGTCATCTGAAACCATTGAAGAATATTCCATTGAAGATAAAGTTTCTATTTTACTTAATATCATTTTAGAAAATGGAGGAGAAATTGAAATTGAAGAACTTCAAAAAGATTGTTTTGAGACATTTGGGCAAAGTATAGATGAAGACAAAGGTGATTTGAAAACATTCTTAGAGAATTATCCAAAGGTGTTTGAATTTGCTACTGAAACAGTTGAAGAGGCAGAAGAGGGTGAATCCCCCGAGGAAACTGGAAGAGTTCGCGCCAAAACAGAGGCCTCACTATGCCAAGCTCATTCAAATGATCCAAAATCATGCAACGGAGGTTGTAATGCCCTTCATATTTGCAAATTTTATATTCTTAGCTCCTGTGAAATGAACAAATGTAAATTTATTCATAACTTTGATAATGAGCACAATAAGAAAGTAAAGCGAAAGTTTTATCTTCACCGAGTTAAGTTACCAAACATATGTCGATTACTTCAGCATGATAATAACAGATGTAGAGTAACCGTCCCTGTAATCTGTCGATACTATAATGCTGACAAAGGATGCAGGAGTGGCGACAGTGGTAGGAATCAACAGTCGCCTCGAAAATGTCCATTTTTGCATCTGTGTAGCAATTATGTTGATGGAAAGTGTTACGCTGGTTTATGTCGTCAAAACCACAGTTTATTAGAAGGACCTGTGCTTGAAATACTGGTTAAGTATAATCTGGATCCGAGGGAATGGAATCAAGGTGAGACGAGAATAATGTCTTTATTGCGTTGGTCTTCAAATGATTTTAAAGAGAATAACAAGAATCGGTCCATTCCATATAAAGTCGAGAAAGGGTATAATGACCTATCTTACGAAAAACTAACGAGAAAGAGAAAGTTGTTTGGCGAGGAACAAACTGTCAGCTTAGCAGTCAAAATGCCGAAAATTTCAGATGTAAGATCCTTTTCAACTAATGATGAATGTCCCGTTGAAAATCAAAGTTGTTCATGGTCTGTTTCTGGTGGTAATGTAAATGAAGACATTCCAGACGATATAGGCACAGATCTTGAAGACAAGCACCAAAAATACTTGCTCGCAAAGACGGCAACAGTAAAATTCAAAGGAAAAAGGTAAGTTAAACAGATATTTTGATTATTAGTCCCCTACCGACGAAGTCGACGGGGACTTTAGGTTTACACTCCGTCCGTCTGTCCGTCCGTCCGTCTGTTCATCCATCAGTCCGGCAAATCAGTTTTCCACACTTTTTTCTTCGTTCTTGAAGATATTGATTTGATATTTGGTATATAGTTTTATCATGACAAGTTATAGGTCAAGTTCGAATTTTGTTCCGGTCTGATGATTGAGTCCAGAGTTATGGACCATAACTCTGGACCATATCTAATGTTAGAGTACTATGTTAAACCATATTTCTGTACAAAGGGAGATAACTCATTCTTTTAAAGATATTCTTTGGTAAATTGTTTGTTGAATTTTTTGGCAGGTTTGTTTGTTATTTTGCATAAACTAATTTTCTGAATACTATTTATATATAAAAACAGATTATGAAGTGAAATCCTTTAATTAGATAATAATCTGTTTTTATTAATGTATATATTTTATTACATTTCATTGTGTACAGATAAAAATTGTTGACATTTTATTGATAAGTTACAAATCTATATTAGTTTGTGACAAATGAATGAAAAAATATTTGGAACTATTAATTATATTTGATTATAATTTGAAAATAGATATACACTGTATTACATCATATCTAATTTTAGAGAACTATTAATCATATCTAATGTTAGAGTGTTTTCCACACTTTTTTTCATCATGCTTGAAGATATTGATTGATAATTGGTATATAGTTTTATCATGACAAGTTACAGATCAAGTTCAAATTTTTATTTCGGCTATTTTTGTGCAGAGTTATGGTTCTTGGACTTGAAAAATTCACTCATATAAACAGTTTTCCACATTGTTTTTAATCATGCTTGAAGATATTGACTTGATATTTTCTTTTTGTTTACACCATGACAAGTTATAGAACAAGTTAGCATTTTGTTCCAGTAGAATGAATTTTTACCCGGTAGGGGACTATGTATTGCCATGCAATACTCTCAGAATGCTTGCTGTATTGTATATTGTTCAGGAACATCTTGGTTGATATTTTTATTTCATATCTGTAGAAAGTGTTGTTTATACGACAGTTGTACAGTGGTCTTTAAGTTAACTATTAAGAGTTCACTTCTTGGCCGGTTTTTGTCCACAGTTCATTTATAGCAATGAATTGAAATTTTCTCTTGATGCAACTTGTCATGAAATCCTTTTTTTTTATTTTCTAGCTTTAGAAGGATATCACTTCCCTTAGACTGATCATTTTTTTTTAGGATTTTGACATTTTTAATTCTCTATTCAGTACTTGGTATTTAAATTGATTTGTGTATAGTCAGACATTTGATTGATATTTTAGTCTTGGATATATGTTTTTTTTTATTAGTTGTTTTTGGCTTTGAACTAACTTTCAGTAACTGCGAGTACTCACGGATCATTATTTTGTGTCTCTTGTGTTTTTGTTTGTTGTTTTTTTGTGATTTATATTGATCTGATAAGTTAAGCCGTTTTCAACTGATTTTTTTAAGTTCTTATGGTAAGCTGTTTCACCACTGTCCCAGGTTGGGGGAGGATATGGCGCCAGCTAATATGTTTAACTCCGTCACATTATGTATGTGTCTGTCCCTAGTCAGGAGCCTGTAATTCAGTGGTTGTCGTATGTTGCTGTTTCCTTTTTTTTCGTTTATTGTTTTTTACACAAAATAAGCCGTTAGTTTTCTCGTTTGAATTGTTTTACATTTGTCATTCCGGGCCTTTTATAGCTTGCAAAGCCAATGAACTATTAGTTGCTTAGTTCGGTTTGCCGTAAATATTTCAAACAAATAGTTTGGCTTTATAGTGATCCTCATGCATTGTTGTCCGTTTGTGTATCGTACATTGGGTTTCGTTCCTAGTCAAGAAGTAGTCCATAATCAAATATTGTGTACTCTTCACATAGTGTCATTGATTAATCAAGGCAAATCGAAACCTGTACTGCAGATTTTGTTTTAATTTTTCAAACAGATATGACCCTTTATTACCTATGGAGGTATTTATGCTTAAAAGATGCGTTCTTCAAAGAATTTTCATAGCCTATGGGCTTTACTAATTTTTTTTACCTTTTCAGTTTTACTGTTGATTTTGAGACGCTAAAAGGACGGTTTGATGGAAGCACAGTAGAGGTAAAAATACACAGAAATGTTTTTCACAAGAAGTATTCCGACAAAAAAATTAGGATACCGTCAGACCAGTTAGAAACAACTACATCAGAAGATGGATACTCATCAACCAGTACCGAGGAGTCCGTTTGCAATGATCCATTTGAAAAGGTCAAAGATGCTGAGTTCATAAAGATTTGAATATTGACTGAAATTAGTCAATTTTAATACTGTACTTGTACATAGGTTTCTCAACAGAAACTATTGTTTCATTTTTTACATTGACTCTGAAATGTGTATTATCAATGTATATCACGAACAAATTTTGTCATTGACCGTTTTTTAGTTTCATCAAATACGATAATACTTTTTATCCAATGGAAGGGAGATTTACTTTCGTTTATTATATTTTTAAGAGATGTTTAATTTTACAACATCAAAAAACCACTGAATTTAAAAAGTATTATGACAGTGTAAATATTGGTTTGCTTCACATCGACTATGAATAATGTTCTTTTAATACCATTAGCGCACAACAAGATATGTGTTCTTTTAGTAGTACGACGTCGTTATAGTGAAATGTATTCGTTGGTATACACATCAACATAACTTTTCTCGTATACATTTTAATTTGACAGTTAACAGAGTTGCATATGGAAGGATATTAATTTGTCCAACTTTTTAATATACAGTTATGAGGCAAGAGTGAAAACAATTGAAAAGATTATTTTCTGTGTCAAGGAAAATAGAGATATTAAAAAGAAAATGAAAAAAAGGAAATACATTTTCATCTTCGAGATACGAGTAGTACTAAAAAGTATCCTACATTTTGAAAAAATGTTAAAAAAGCGAAAAAAATATATACAAATCAGATCAAGCGTTATTCCATTTTTTAGTAAAATAACATGTATGCTTGATTCGATAGGTATAGTACCTGTGTGTAAATATAGGATAAATCACGAAAGGAAAATGATGACACGATGTTTGCTTAACAGCAAGAAAAGGTAAAAAAAAAATGAAAGCAAGAAGTAGAAGACAAAGAAACAAAAAAAAGGAAAAAAAAATTAAAAAGATGAAAAAAATCAACACTGAAATAAACGGAAAAAATAAGTATGTAAATAAAAAAAGTATTTAATTCTTTGTAGGTGAAATCAACTATGCAAATAGGTATCCCATCCAACATGTTTTATACACTAGCAGAAAATATTTTTGAATGGTATTTAACATGCCAACTACTTGCAGATAAAAAATGTAAAAAAAAAACTTTCTTGTAACAATTTGTTGCAAGTACGATAACCCTACACAGTTCATATCTGCTTATTTCACACAAAACAATGTTTTATATACATTGTATAATATTGTGACAGTTTTGAACTTTAAATAAATGCTATTATGATGGAAAGATCAATTCACAATGTGAAAAATGGTTTTAAAGATGTATATCGATGCATGGTGAAAATGTTCAGCAAAAAAAAAGACATGGAAATGAAATTAAACTACTTTAGTTGGATTCATCTGATAGATAAACAAATATACATGGTCATTATATTGGGCTTACTTAAAAGGTAGTTCAACAATGTTTGTGTTTTCAAATCTTTTAAAAATTGAGAAAACGTACGGTTCGAAGCAGGGTAATTATGTGAATGAAATATAACAAACATAGCTATTAAATGAAATTCTGCGATTATGCAGAACAGGAACAACAGAAACGTGTAATTGCTTAAATTATGATTATTATATTCTTAAAGGATACGTGTCTCATTTTTTCAAACACATGATTACGTCTGTATTAAACGTGTGAAAGTAGATAGCATACTATGAAATTATAAATAAAGTGTATCTTTCTATATTATTTTTATTCGTTATGCCTTGCTTCGTCTACAAAAGACTCATCAGTGACGCTGGATTCAATTAAATTTAAAAGGCCAAAATAAAGTACGAAGATAGAGCGTATTGAAGACCCAAATTTCATAAAGGTTACGCCAAATGCAGCTAAGGTTATTTATTTCTGGGGTAGAAAATCATTAGTATTTAGAACAATTCAAAGTTTTGTAAACAGTTAATTTATAAATATGACGATATTAATGATAGTTCATGTCAACGCAGAAGTGCTGACTACTGCATATGAGCCACATTTCCCATAATCGCTTCTCAAGAAGTAGGACAATTCCTTTCACTTCACGTTTAACTGTAAAGATGATGTTCTCGAACTGAAAAGTTAAAGTTTGTTCACTATGTTGACCACGTCTTTCCCATTAAAATGAAGTAAGGAATTTCACATATTCTGTCAGACCTGATTGATTTGAAAATTGGCAGTAAGGATCGGTCTGGAGAGAAAAAAATAGGTCTTCAATTTTCACCTTGTTTATTTCCATTTTTATGAAACAACATTCCTGTACCTGCTTACAAAGTATATATCTATATCTCCCAGTTGATGCAGTAATTCATTACTATACTTGCATTTCCTATCAGCAATGCCTTGCTTTGATAAAGAAGACTGATGACTAAAAGAAAGCAACTGAACCAAGGGTTGTGAATTGTAAATTTGAAGTCGTCTCTTCGAAACTTTTACATTTACGGACGCCATCACGATTAGTTGACTAGTTTCGAATATCTGTGTGACGATTGATTACTGATCGTTCCATTTGTCGTAGCCACAATCAAATCCTCCCTTCCTCATTCGTTGACTTCAAAACAAATGCGACATACCACTGTAATTTTACGTGTCACGGACAACTCAGTTGATGCCACTAATGAGCAGTTCAATATTTTTTGGGCTTCGCTTTGTTCAATTTTTACTTGTCTATGTAGTGTTTATCCCCTGTGTTCACTTTTTCACTATTTTAATTCTGGTCGTGATTCTGTATGTCTTTTTCATCTTATTCTTAAGGTTACTTCCTTTGTCTCGTTAAAATGTCATAAAATGACCAGGTATGAATAGATGATGAATAGCAAAAATACCGAACTCCAACGAAAATTCAAAACGTAAAGTCCCTTACCAAATGGCAAAATTAAAAGCTCAAACACATCAAACGAATGGAAAACAACTGTCATATTCCTGACTTGGCACAGGAATAGATGATAAATAGCAAAAATATGTTTCGAAGTGGTAACAAGCACAAAATACACAATAAAGAACATTTACATCTTTTTTGGTATGAATAGATAAACTTGGGAGTGAAATTAATTTTAAATCCATTAATTGTAAACGGAGTGAGACCAGAAGCTTCAATTGACTAAGGGTCTCCATGCATGCACCACATGCCATATGGTTCTAACGTCATATACATTACGAAGTATTGAAGCCAGAAGATGACAAAAGTGGTAATAATGTCAAATAGACAATAATGGAAATGTGAGATCTACGACTGACTTTGAATGATGTCTCTATTAAGTTAAGAAAATGAGACAGTGCAATAATAATACATTTCATGAAAACGACTGTAAAACTTGTGAAGTGATGATTTTATTCGTTCTTCCTCAAAATCTTGGTGGAATAGTTGTTGGGCTAAAAGTGTACCTCTGTTCGTAAAATCAGCATATCCTAGCTTATCTTATCAACCGAACAATTCAAACTGCAAGGAATACTGAAATAAAAGAAAACCACTTAAAAACGTACCAATAAATTAAAACAAACGTACATTTACTGAAAATAACCAAGAACATTACAGATGAAGAAAATGCAGTGATAAAATTGTTTGATTTCCAAGTTATGTAATATGGGTATTCCAGAATGTTTTTGTTGTTGTTGTCGCCGGGTGAGGACTCTGTGAAATTGGCTACCAAGTTTTATACATAAGTCAGCATTACAACTCCCAAAATGCCTTATACTGTTTTATTTATCTTCAAGTATTGTGATACAACCAGACAAGTTAAACAAAAAAAAAAGGCCACACCGCTGAATATCTCGCTTGGTTAATTTTCTTATGTCCCAATATTGAGATGAATGTCGATGATGAGATCAAAGTCAAACTACATGGGACTACATGTATCAACTTACAATTGGGATATCGAAAATAAAAAATATTTAGGAAACTCACCTAATTACTAACCTAGATATATGTGAATCAACTAGAATAAACACATATAAAAATCAAGACAACACGTTATACATTTCATGCGTTTGAAGCACTTTTCTGGATTTACCTTCATCAGGAACGCTCAAAGACGAATGTTAAAAAGCCTGAGGGAGTTGGAACCTTAGTTTCTTTATAATTTCTAAATTTATAAACGGATAATTTTAGAAAGGTTTGTTATAAATTATGTCAGTACCGTAGTACTGACTTCTGAGCTGATAATACTCAAAATCTTTGTCGGGTTACTCGTCAAACGAACATGTACACCTTTGAAAATACAAAGGTAAAATACACTAGTAGTTAACCTTTTACTCACCGTAACTACAAAACTGACTTAATCAGGGAAACTAGTTTAACGTTAGAAAAAACAAAACAAACGAAAACAGGTCAGACGCCGCCTATTAAATAGACAAATACACATTAAAATGATTATTTTGACCAACTATATAGCTGACCTTTTACTTGTAGAAAATTAAGGCATCAGTTTATCGATGTTGAAATCTTGTATATCGATAAGAAAGAGACAATCAAGGTAACAAACAAAAAGGACTGAGACCGGGTTCCTAGACAGGGTAAACATCTCTTGCTATTCATGCATCACCGGTATGCGAAATAAAGGCAACAGTAGTATACCGCTGTTCAATAGTCATAATCACACTCAAAAGTCAAAATCACACTCAATCAAAATATATGGAAATTACAGATGAAACGACAATATTGGTTTCTAAAGACCTAATACCGCGAAAAATGCTGCTAGTGAGTTTAGACACCGACAAGTCATATCGGTCAACTGAGATATGTAAACCTCATACAATGAATCAGAGGCTGTTTCTGCTGAAAAATGGGTAGTTGACAGCTGGAAAGTTGAAATCATCGTATTTGTCATAAATTCTAGTTTGAAGTCGTCCACCTGTATTAATATCGAGGAAAAGATCAAGTTATGAAACATACTTTCTACTTTCTGCAGTATACTGAATCTCAAGTCACTAGGATATATGAAATGTTATCGCTCAATGAAATGTGGGTTTATAAAATGATTTCAGTCAGGTGCACCTTATCAACCATGAAATGAGTTCAGGGTTAGGTGGACATGAGTATATGTCAATGTATGCCAACTTAGCGAATCTCATATCTGATTGCAACTACACACAAAACAATTATAATCAACCTGTGAAAAAGAGTTATAATGGAGAAGGAATCGATCGTCATAAAATATTCTGATTGATTGCTGTTTGCTTAACATCCTGTGGAAAAAAAGTTATGCAAAATCAGGCAAGAACAAATAAAACTATAATTCTAAAAGGTAATGTCTGCAAAGTGGGTCTGTAGGGATAAAGGACGGGAAATTTGGACTGTCATTGGAGATTGGTTGCATGTTGGCTAGGGGTAGAGGCTAACTTTGCAAAAAGTCCACTTATGAAGCCATTTAATAGTTTGTTGCAAGGGTTCTTTAACGTGCAGTGTGTAGCAGTGGGTATGAAATATTCGAAGTACAATGGCTATAATTAAATACAATTAAATACGTCAACTTCAATGAATTTGCTGTGTGAACTAACTACAACCATAAAAAAATTGAAAACAACACGTTTAATAATTTCATGCGTCCGAAGCGCTTTTCTGGATTTACCTTCATCAGGAACGCTCAATGCCAAACATTTGAAATCCGAGGGATGTATAAGTACCGAAACAGTTGAAAGAGCTATATGACAAAAATACCTAAAACAAATAAACTACTAGTAACAAAAATATTCCGTGGCTGCGAAAAAATACGCTTTTGCATGTTTCATACCTATATTCCATTTAAGTACCATCAATCATGTTGGTTTCATGGTGGGAATGTCATACCGAAGTAAGTAACCAGACACACAACGGATGATCTTCCCATAGGCTCTTATAATAGCCAAGTTCAGGAGGAGATACCAACGGCCAATCAAAAACCATAAATCAAAAAAGTGCAACAGACATCCGTCATGTTAATCCTGTTAAAATATGTAGATGAATCATATCCTCTGATTATGCATGATCGAGGTTTGAATACAGATATCACATAAATTTAGCAAGGTCCATAAAAATAAGGTCAAGGTCACCTGAACTCTGCCAGGCGAACAAGTACACTTTACAATGCTTCCGTACACCAAATATAGTTGAAATATTGCCCATAGTATAAGATAAATAGTCGCAACCACAAAAAGTTAACATCTAACAAATAAAACATAAAAGGGGGGCACGGTCATATGAACCAATCATTCCATTAGCCAAATACAGATGACCTACTTTCTATGGTATCTGAGGAATAGACATAATGACAATCAATAAAACCTAAAGTTTTTCACAGATTCTTGAAAAGGAGGTAAAGGTCAGTTGAAACCTCTCGGATGGACATAAATACCTTGCAATAAGTCAATATACGTCATACAGTTGTCCTAATACTCATAGTAGCTGGAAATTTTTTTGACAAAAAAATAACTATTTTTAAGCAGTTGCTGAACTTTGAAAATTATTTCACTGACAATGGACATATGCCAGATTGAAACTTAACATAAGACATCGTATATAAGAAATGTATCCAGATTTTCTTTCTTCTAAAATATAGAGTTTTCATACAAAGGGCTCATGCTACTGCTGGATTAGCATCCCTGTCTTGCATTATGCAACATTAGTTGTAGGGAAGACAATAAAAAAGCCCAAAATACAATACTGACAACTAAAGAAATAAGAACATAAAACCCTTTGTTACTAAGCTAGGTTGAGCTGAGGTGCTCTGGAAAGGT